GTCCATCCTTCCTTCTTTCCTTCCATCATCCATCCTTCCTTCCATCCATCTTCATCTATCCATCATACTTCTTTCCATCCATCCTTCATTCCATCCATCATCCTTCCTTCCTTCCATCTATCCTTCATTCCATCCATCCATCGTCCATCCTTCCTTCCTTCTATCATCCATCCTTCTTTCTTTCCTTCTATCATCCATCCTTTCTTCATTCCATCCATCCACCGTCCTTCCTTCCTTCCTTCCTTCCTTCCATCCATCCATTGTCCATCTTTCCTTCTTTCCTTCCATCCTTCCTTCTTTCCTTCCATCCATCCATCCATTGTCCATCTTTTCTTCTTTCCTTCCATCCTTCCATCTTTCCTTCCATCCATGTTTCATTCCTTCCATCCATTGTCCATCCTTCCATCCATCCTTCTTTCCATTCATTGTCCATCCTTCCATCCATCCTTCCTTCCATCCTTCCTTCCATCCATCGTCCATCCTTCCTTCTATCCATCCGTCCATCATCTTTTACCCGCTTCTTCCTTTTTGGGTCACAGGGATCACTGATGCCCATGTCTAGCAGACATTGTTCAAGAGGTGGGGGACACCCTGGACAGGTCTCCAGTCCATCACAGAGACACATAGAGACAAACAACCATTTACTCTCTCACTCACACCTAGGGACAATTTAGAGTTACCGTTCAGCCTAACATGCATGTTTTTGGTCTGTGGGAGGAAACCGGAGTACCCGGAGAAAACCCACGTTTGCACGGAGAGAACATGCAAACTCCACCCAGAAAGAACACCCCCCCCCCCCCACGGCCGGGATTCTATCCAGCGACCTTTCCGCTGAGAGACGGCAGCTCTACCAACTGAGCCACCAGACAGCTTCCATCTTTGCGTCCTGCTCCATGTTTTGCATGGTGCTCACAACCGTACCGAACCACTCACCACATATCTGTTCCCTTTATAAAGGCTGATGGAAAGCTTGAAGGTAAACTAATTAATGTCAAACACTTGGTTTGAAACGTGACTATAATGCAAAGACATTTTTCAGTGAGCTGTCCGAGTACCAACACATTTCTTCATGTCTGTAGGTTTTTGTAAATATCACACCTCTTCTGTGTTGAGGCTCATTTCGTCACTTGTCCTTCCAGGCTGATGCAGTATCATCAGATGGTGGTGAAGGGTTCAGGCGGGTTGCCAGATGAGCTGCTTTATGGTCGAGTGGGCTACCTCTACTCCCTCATCTTCATCAACCAGCAGCTTGGGCAGGACAGGATCCCCCTGCAGTACATCCAGCAGGTCGGTGGGCAACTAGGCTGCTCAGCTTTATCATTAGAAGAAAGAAATGTTTGAGAGTTTTTATGTGCGACATATATTTGTTTATTTGTCAGATTAGTGAGGCTGTGTTGGCATCAGGTGAACACTGCAGCAGAAAGTTTCGAGTCCAGAACCAGAGCCCGCTGATGTACGAGTGGTACCAGGAGCAGTACGTTGGCGCCGCTCATGGCCTGTCAGGCATCTACTATCTTCTGATGCAGGTAGGACATCTCTCCAGGTCAATGCAAATGCTTTGGAACCAGATTTGGGGGGAAAGGGGGCAGTTAGTGTTGGTCTTGTGCAAGACCCTTAACGCCCACCATCTGCTCCCCCAGGCGCCCTAGATAGCAGCTCTCTGCTCCACACAGAGGGCTGTGGTTGCTCCAGGAAGGGCAGCCGGCGTAAAATCAATTTTCAAGACTTTGTGCGAGTTAGTTCGCGGTGGTGACCCCTGAGGCAGGGAGCAGCCGAAAGAAAAATAACAATACCTAGAGAAATTGCATTTCCTGCAAAAATGCAGTGTGAATGCTTATTGCATAAGAGCTTGCTGAAAAACAGCTGAAATTAGCTAAAAACATTTTGAAATGTAGCTAAAATGGAAGAACAAGCCTAAGTTAACAGAAGAAAGCAGAAATAATCCATATTTGCTGAATTAGGTTTAAATGAGCAGAAAATAGCAGAAAAATTAGGAAAGTAGCTAAAAAAAAAAGGCTGAAATTCACAAAAAATGGCTGAAGAGTAGCCAAAAGTTAGAAAGAAGCTTAAACTATCAGAAGGAAGCGGACAGAGCTGAAATGAGCTAAAAAAAAAAAAAAGTGGAATTAGCAGAAAATGTTAAAATTGGCATAAAACAGCTAAATAGTAGCTAAAATGGCAGAAATAGTTGAAACTAGCATAATAAAGCTGAAAGGAGCACAACAAGCTAAAATTGGCATAAATAAGTTCATTATCTTCATCGTAGCAGAAATTACCATGAAAAACGTGAACTTATCTGTTAACAGTCAAAAATAGCTAAAAAAAAAAAGTGCCAGTAGAAAAAGTTTAAATTAGCAGAAGAAATCAGAAAGAATACATTTGCCCAGTTAGACTGAAAGAAGCAGAAATGAGCACAACGAAGTGGAAATTATCTGAAAAAGCTGAAATGGGCAAAAACCAGCTGAAAAGTACCAGTGGCTAAAAAAGCAGAAAGAAGCCTAAATTACCAGAAGGAAGTAGAGAGAGCACATTTTTGCTGAATTAGGTAGAAAAAAGATGAAATTAGTGAAAAATATGTGGAATTAGTCAAAAAAGCTAAAATTAGCGTAAAATGGCTAAATAGTAGCTGAAATATCAGAAAAGGCTGAAACGTAGAAATAAACTGGAAGGAGCATAACAAGCTGAAATTCTCAGAAAGAAGTTAGAAGAAGATCAAACATTTTGTAGTTAGCAGAAAGAATCTAAAAGCATCACAAAACAGCTGAAAGTAGCTGAAAAAAGTTAAAAATTGCACAAGGAAGCTGAAAGAAGCTGAAGCAGAACAAAATGTGAAAGGAGCAGTAAAAGGTTGTAAACAGATCTAAAGATTTGAAGGATGTAAAATGAGCTCAATTCATTTTCTTTGAGGAAAAAATGTCAGAAAAGGCTAAATATTTCAAAAAGCTAAAGTTGCACCAACACCAAAAGTCACAGCAGGATTGTCCTGAAGGAGCTGAACGTTTTGATATACGAGTTGTTGAAATAACACAAAAACTGCGGGACGAGAAAGATGCTGAAAAACGTAGAGAAGAAAAACAGATTACAATAGTGTGAATGCTTCATAAACATTCACACTATTATTAGTCTGAGAACAGTTTGTATGAGTTCAGGAAGTCTCCAGTGTCTTTTATGGAACTGCTTTTGCACAGTGTGTGTTTGTAAAGTAGTTTGAGAAGTCTGCTCTCTCTTCCCACATTAACATGCAGCCACCTCCGTGCTTCACTGTGGAGACGTTATTGTTTTGTATCTTCGCACATGTTCTGTGACGTTAAATTCCAACGACCTTCTATTAAAACTCCTTTATAATCTTAACTTTCTGCTGTTGTTACGGTTCACTTGATTTTTGTTGCTGCTGCTGAGACAATTTCTCAACTGATTTATTACAAAAATTATTATTTTAAGAACTACAGTTGCAGATCGGTGGAAATTAAGTCATTAATTTGACTTGTAAAAAATAAATAGCATCAGGTCATTAAAGGGCTGCAAAGCAAATATATATATATATATATATATATATATATATATATATATATATATAATTTTTTTTTTTTTTTTTTTTTTAAATATGCACACAATATTTTTTATGTACATTTTTGTACAAAATAAGTATTTTATATGATAAAAAGTCCCCAAACAACACAAATGCATATAATTAGGTTGTTTCTTGGTTTAGGGCTATAGCCATAAATCTGAAAAATATAAAAATAAACATTTGAATTAGGAAAAAGTGCAAAATCTGATTACCGTTTTTTCCGCTGTACACGTCGCACCGCCGTATAAGTGGCATCAGTCCAAATATGTCATAGTAGGAAAAAAAAACATAAAAATGTTGCTTCGCCGTATGAGTCGCATCTATTATGCGTCACAGATGACAACCTGGAAATGTGGGCCGGTGTTGTGCCAAAAATCGATTGGCTGCCAAAATGGCGGCCGTGGGAGCATGCACAGGAGGACTTTAACAAGCATTTAACAAGATTAACACTTAAAAACAATTATTTGTTTGCTCGACATTATAGTAAAGGTGTGTCTCAATTGAACTTTCCTTAATAAATGCACTTTAATGGTCAAATCAGCTGCATTTCTCCTGGGCGGCGAAATGCAGCTGATTTGACGTTTGCTCCAGGAGTTCCGGAGCAAGACGGAGGTGGCTTAGTATGGCAAGCCAAGTGTCTCATTAATAGCCACTTGTGATGGACCGAGTTGAAAAGCAAGAGGAGTCACAGGACGTATTAGGAAAAAATAGGGGTTTTATTGTAACCCCAAAAGATGACGTTTTACAAAAAAAAATGAATGCTGAGCTCATAAAAGAGGTCAAAGGAACAAAACTGAACTCAGGCAAAAATGTGAACAAACTGGCTGCACGAACAAACATAAATGACCTCCTGAAAAATTGACACACAGGGGTATACAGGTCCTTCTAAAAAAATTAGCATATTGTGATAAAGGTCATTATTTTCCATAATGTAATGATAAAAATGAAACTTTCATATATTTCAGATTCATTGCACACCAACTGAAATATTTCAGGTCTTTAATTGTTTTAATATTGATGATTATGGCATACAGCTCATGAAAACCCAAAAATGCCTGTCCCAAAAAATTAGCATATTTCATCCCACCAGTGAAAGACAAGTGTTTTTAATACAAAAAACGCCAACCTTCAAATAATCATGTTCAGTTATGCACTCAATACTTGGTCGGGAATCCTTTTGCATGAATGACTGCTTCAATGCGGCGTGGCATGGAGGCAATCAGCCTGTGGCACTGCTGAGGTGTTATGGAGGCCCAGGATGCTTCGATAGCGGCCTTAAGCTCATCCAGAGTGTTGGGTCTTGCGTCTCTCAACTTTCTCTTCACAATATCCCACAGGTTCTCTATGGGGTTCAGGCCAGGAGAGTTGGCAGGCCAATTGAGCACAGTAATACCATGGTCAGTAAACCATTTACCAGTGGTTTTGGCAATGTGAGCAGGTGTCAGGTCGTGCTGAAAAATGAAATCTTCATCTCCATAAAGCTTTTCAGCAGATGGAAGCATGAAGTGCTCCAAAATCTCCTGATAACTAGCTGCATTGACCCTGCTCTTGATAAAACACAGTGGACCAACACCAGCAGCTGACATGACACCCCAGACCATCACTGACTGTGGGTGCTTCACACTGGACTTCTGGCATTTTGGCATTTCCTTCTCCCCAGTCTTCCTCCAGACTCTGGCACCTTGATTTCCGAATGACATGCAAAATTTGCTTTCATCCGAAAAAAGTACTTTGAACCACTGAGCAACAGTCCAGTGCTGCTTCTCTGTAGCCCAGGTCAGGCGCTTCTGCTGCTGTTTCTGGTTCAAAAGTGGCTTGACCTGGGGAATGCGGCACCTGTAGCCCATTTCCTGCACACGCCTGCGCACGGTGGCTCTGGATGTTTCTACTCCAGACTCAGTCCACCGCTTCCGCAGGTCCCCCAAGGTCTGGAATCGGCCCTTCTCCACAATCCTCCTCAGGGTCCGGTCACCTCTTCTCGTTGTGCAGCGTTTTCTGCCACACTTTTCCCTTCCCACAGACTTCCCACTGAGGTGCCTTGATACAGCACTCTGGGAACAGCCTATTCGTTCAGCAATTTATTTCTGTGTCTTACCCTCTTGCTTGAGTGTGTCAATGATGGCCTTCTAGACAGCAGTCAGGTCGGCAGTCTTACCCATGATTGCAGTTTTGAGTAATGAACAAGGCTGGGAGTTTTTAAAAGCCTCAGGAATCTTTTGCAGGTGTTTAGAGTTACGTCGTTGATTCAGATGGTTAGGTTAATAACTTGTTTAGAGAACCTTTTCATGATATGCAAATTTTTTGGGACAGGCATTTTGGGTTTTCATGAGCTGTATGCCATAATCATCAGTATTAAAACAATTAAAGACCTGAAATATTTCAGTTGGTGTGCAATGAATCTGAAATATATGAAAGTTTCATTTTTATCATTACATTATGGAAAATAATGACCTTTATCACAATATGCTAATTTTTTGAGAAGGACCTGTATATACTGGCTGATCAGACCATTAAGACACGATAGGGATAACTAAACGGTATTCAATCACTAACTACAACAACCAACACAGTACAGCTAAGTTTGATAAACTAAACACCAAAAGTGGAAATCCAATATATTAAATTTTAAATAGAAATATTCACTTAAATACAAAAGCTTTTTTCTTAAATAAAGAAAATACAAGTTCCCCCTCTCCAGCAGGAACTGGTGGTGCAGTCCAATCAGCTCCATGTTTTTAAGTGTGCTAATAAACCCTGACAGCTTTTGTCTGGCACCTCCCAGGGATCACGGCAGGTAAGAACCGGTAAAATAAACAAGAATTAATCACAAGCACAAAAAAATGAACAATGAGTTGAAATAAATACATTAATAAACTAAATGTGCACGCTTACAGATAGAACAAATGTATCTAAACCAACCAATAAACATTTTTTTGCAAACTAAAGTGTTGTTTGGATGAGAAATAAATGGTGCTTGTAAGAGTTACCGACTTTAGAGTGTGGCCATGGGTTTGGCCATCACATCACTTTTACCTATTAAGGAGACACTTGGCTTGCCATATGACTCCATTGCCCACTAGTGGCTGAACATGGTAGTGCTCAATATTTTCCATGTCAAAATGAATGAAATCGTCAAATCTCAGCCAAAAATTGGGTTATGAATATGACGTTATTAAAAAAATGTTTATTAGTGGTTTCAGTGTATAAGTCGCAGGACTTGCAAATTTATGCGAAAAACTGCGACTTATATGGCGAAAATGATGGTAAATGTTCATCCTTTTAAAACCAGTGTGCGAGGATTGTTTATCCACTTTAGCTTTTGCCATTTTCTGTCCTGTGGTTCCTCTGCCGCAGAGCTCCGACTTTCTCTTGCCAAAGTTTTTTTTTCTTTTCCAAACGTTTAATTCCTTCCTCCGCAGCCAGGCTTCGCCCCCACCGAGGAGCACGTGCACAGGCTGGTGAAGCCCAGCGTTGACCACGTCTGCCGTCTCAAGTTCCCCACGGGGAACTATCCTCCCTGCATCGGGGACGATCGAGACTTGCTGGTGCACTGGTGCCACGGCTCCCCGGGGATCATCTATATGCTGCTGCAGGCCTACAAGGTGAGGAATGACAAAAAAAAAAAAAACAGACGCCTCAAATCGTTTGTGGAGTTGCAGCAACATCTTGTGGTGAAGCTTCGCAACTCTTCATCAAATGCTGCAACTTTTATTAGACACTGCCTGCTCTATGTTTTGTATTAGGTTTTTGGCAGCCCTCAGTACCTGTATGATGCTCTGCAGTGTGGGGAGGTGGTGTGGCGGTGGGGTCTGCTGAAGAAGGGTTACGGGCTGTGCCACGGGGCGGCCGGGAACGCCTACACCTTCCTGGCTCTCTACAAGCAAACCAAGGACCCGAAGCACCTTTACAGAGCGTGCATGGTGAGGCCGTCCTTTGCTGTTAGGGTCCAAACAGCAGACGTTAGAGTTCGTCTTTAAGCCTCGACGGAAGACGTGACCGTGTCAGTTCGACACTGGCCTCTCGTCTGTGTTAAAGTGAAAGTCAATCTGAAACAACAAAAGTTCAGTCAGGTCATCTGGACGGTTTCTTTTTTAGTTGAGATATTTCGTCCTTCATCCGAAGGACTTCTTCAATCTGAGGAGCCACAAACAAACTGAATCCCACAAACAGCTCACTCCCATAGTGGGGAAAAAAAAACAGTTTGCTGTAGGGATGTGCGATATGGCATAAAATTCATATCACGATATGTATTGTGAAGGGTGGCGATAACGATATATATCACAATATGTTTTTGGTGTAAAACTTGCAATAGCAACGAAAAAAAGCATAGGGTGTCCTTTTGCCATCATTAATTTTGAAAACTGCTATACCACAAAATAATCTCAATTAAGAAAATCCCACTATTAAGTCCAGAGAGGTTTTAAATACAAAACAAATCAAGTATTAGGCTTCTTTCTTGTAGTGCAAAACAGTGCAAAATATATCAAATGTAGTTTTAGCCACATGTGTTAAACAAAATAATATGTTGTTAACTCTTAACAGTGTCCAGTCTCATTTAATATATGAACAGCAACTGAGCAGCATTTTACACTGAAACACTTCACCCTCCAACCCTCTAGTGGGCGTCTCCTTCCGCGTTAAGGAGAGCTGACACAAAATGGCGACCAGTTTCCTCTGTGGCTTTGACCAGAAGGTCTGGCAGTAAAATCACACAACACAGCGTTCTTTTCACAGATCTGAGAGCAGGTTTCTCTAAAGCTGACCAACGCTTACTTTAACTTTCAATGGAAAAAAAAAACTTTTGACGGAACGCAGCGTTTTGCGTATGCGCCCAAATACGGCAACACTACGGCAAGCCGGCCGTAGTTAGCTTGTAGCTTCACTACTTAGCTCTCGAAGAAAAGACTTTAACACCACTTGCACACAGTTTTCAACTCAAAAAAAGTAACGATTAAACTGACAACTCTGATTTTACATCAAACAGCATTACTGCTGTTAGCCGGTAGAAGACAGATCTCTATCGTAGGCTAAAATGTCTATCGTTTTTACCGTGTACCATATATATCCTAGTTTGCTGGTGATAAGATGACCTCCGGGGCCCGCCCTCTCCCGCGTCAACTCCTCTGAGACAGTCATGCCAAAATGGTTCAGAACACCAAAGCTCTTTTGTTGGATTTGTCCCTGGATTATTGAGCATGAACTTTGGTGTTCAATCTGAAGCGCTGGTGTGTGTGAGAAGCAGCCTTTAATGTTTATTGGTGGTGGAGTTGCTTTCGGGCCTAAAAAATCGAACCCGTATAATTTTTTCCAAGCCCGACCCAAAACCGATCAATTAACAGTGATTACAGGCTCGAACCAGAAAAAAATATCAACTTTTAAAAAAAATTTCTTAATCTTTTACTGCTTTTGTAAGCAAATCAATTTGACATGATTTTAAAACGTATTTCAAAGAAAAGAAGATTTATATATGTAAATGTATAACGTCTGTTTATGTTGCTTTGCTGTGGTAGGTTTTTTTTTGATGCCTCAAATTGTGCCCTGTCTAGGACACGGTGTGAGAGATCTTTTTTTTTTATACCGTCTCTCCTCATGTTTTCTTTCCTTTTCTTATCTAAGCAAAACATTATTCTGAATAAGAATAAGAAGGCCGCGCTGATTATTTTTAGCCGCAGCTTTGTGCACTCCGCCCATCTTCGGACGACTGTACATACATATTCGCATTGTATCTCGGTGCAATGCCAATAAAGTTTATTCTGATTCTGAGAAGATTTAGGATTTCTTGTTTATAAATAAGAGTCAGTGGATTATTATAGTTATTGTAGTTATTTACAATCGGCGGACGCATGCGGCCGATGATCCAAATTGAGTCATTGGCTGTGCGCGTCCGCTGTTAAGCTTCAAACGGATTACTGGCATTGAGCCAGCTGAAGCTTAACTGAACTTTTTTTTTTTTTACCTTTTTCAACCAGCCGGTCAGCGTGCGGACAAATGGCCACACGCAGCTGGCGATCCAAATTGGATTGTCAGTCGCGTGCGTCCACAGACGCAATCAAAAGCCCGACCCAGCCCATCTATCCAGCGCATTATTTTTGCCCGGCCTGAATTTCTGATCTGGCCCGGGTTAGAAATGTCACCTCTAATTGACGAGGTGGCCGCAGTTTACATTAATCTGAATGTTCTCACTGTAAATGAAAATGTTTTTGTCTGGATTATTGAGCATGAACTTTGATGTTTTAAACCACTTTGGCCGTGGCTGCCTCAGAGGAATCGACGGGGGAGAGGGCAGGCCCCAGAAACCAGCTTATCACCATAAAACTGGTTGGAGCACTATGTGAGTAAGCCACTTATGGGACTGAGTTTGTTGTGGCTCCTCAGACTGATGAAGTCCTTTGGATGAAGGACGAAATGTCTCGACAAACAAAAAAACAGTGGAATAAAGATGACCTGACTAAACTTTGTTGGATTTTCTACATGGATTATTGAGCATGAACTTTGATGTTTTTGTCTGTTCCATCCTCTGAACGCATGTCATAACCTACAGCGATGGTTTTGTTGTTGTTTACTGTTTTTGTTTGTACAGTTTGCAGATTGGTGCATGAACTATGGGAAGCATGGATGTCGGACACCTGACACACCTTTCTCTCTTTTTGAAGGTAACACATGCTGATTAAGAGCTCAGTTTACCTGAGAAGAGATGACAACACAGGCAAAATATCAGAAAATATTGCTTGATTTTTGTATTTGTTGTTTTCTGTGAAGTTTTGCAGGATGAGGTTTATTTAGTCACTTTCCCTCTGTTCATCCCTGTTATATTTGAAGATGCATTATCCCACTGGATCTTGTTTTTAAAGCTTTTTCTTAGAGAAGAACTGAAACCTCTCACAATCTCAAAATCAAAAATAACTATAGAAATGTCAGTTCCTGTGAAAATGCAGTGTGAATGCTTATTGCAGAAGAACTTGCTGAAAAACACCTGAAATTAGCTAAAACATGCTGAAATGTAGCTGAAATGGAAGAACAAGCCTAAATTAACAGAAGAAAGCAGAAAGAACATGTTTGCTGAATTAGGTTTATATAAACAGAAATTAGATCGATCGGTAAATTGAGAGCTTCGCCTTTTGACTCAGCTCTCTCTTCACCACGACAGACCTGTACAGCGCCCGCTTCACTGCAGGCGCTGCACCTATCCGCCTATCGATCTCACGCTCCATTTTTCCCTCATTCGTGAACAAGACCCCAAGATACTTGAACTCCTCCATTTGGGGCAGGACCTCCTCCCTGACCCAGAGAAGGCACTCTACCCTTTTCCGGCTCAAGACCATGGCCTCGGATTTAGAGGAACTGATCTTCATCCCAGCCGTGTCGCACTCGGCTGTGAACCGCTCCAGCGAAAGTTGTAGATCACGTTCTGATGAAGCCAATAAGACCACATCATCTGCAAAAAGCAGAGAAGCAATCCTAAGGCCACCAAAACGAATCCCCTCAACACCTTGGCTGCGCCTAGAAATTCTGTCCATAAAAGTTATGAACAGAATCGGTGACAAAGGGCAACCTTGGCGGAGTCCAACTCTCACCGGGAACGAGTCCGACTTACTGCCGGCAATGCGGACCAGGCTCTGACACCGGTCATACAGGGACCTAACAGCCCATATCAAAGGGCTCGGTACCTCATACTCCCAGAGTCCCCCCCACAGGGTTCCCCAAGGGACGCGGTCAAACGCCTTCTCAAGTCCACGAAGCACATGTAGCAATTTACCGATCGATCTACGTTCCTACCCTCATCTATGGTCATGAGCTTTGGGTTGTGACTGAAACAATGAGATCTCGGATACAAGCGGCCGAAATGAGTTTTCTCTGCAGGGTGTCTGGGCTCTCCCTTAGAGATAGGGTGAGAAGCTCGATCATCCGGGAGGGACTCGGAGTAGAGCCGCTGCTTCTCCACGTCGAGAGGAGCCAGTTGAGGTGGCTCGGGCATCTGGTTAGGAAGCCTCCTGGACGCCTCCCTGGTGAGGTGTTCCGGACACGTCCCACCGGGAGGAGGCCCAGAGGAAAACCCAGGACATGCTGGAGGGACTATGTTTCTCGGCTGGCCTGGGAACGCCTCAGGATTCCCCCGGAAGAGCTGGCCCAAGTGGCTGGGGAGAGGGAAGTCTGGGCCTCCCTACTTAGGCTGCTACCCCCACGACCCGACCCGGATAAGCGGAAGAAAATGGTTTGATGGATGGTTAAACAGAAATTAGCACAAAAAATAGGCAATTAGTTAAAAAAAAAAAGGCTGAAATTAACAAGAAACAGCTGAAAAGTAGCTGAAATGGCAGAAAGAAGCTTAAATTACCAGAAGGAAGAGGAGAGAGCACAGTTATGCCCAATAAGGCTGAAAGAAGCAGAAGTGAGCGCAAAACATGTGAATTATCTGGAAAAGGGCAGACATTTGCCAAAACAGCTGAAAAATAGCTAAAAATACAGAAAGCTTAAATTACCAGAAGAAAGTGGAGAGAACACATTTTTGCTAAATTTAGCTGATAAAGGTTGAAACAAGTGCAAAAAATGTGGAATTAGCTGAAAAGGTTAAAATTAGCATAAAAACAGCTAAATAGTAGCTGAAATTGCAGAAAAAGCTGAAACTTGCAGAAATTAGCAGAAATTAGCTGAAAGAAGTTAGAAGCACAAAAATGTAGTTGGCGGAAAGAATATAAAAGGAGCATAAAACAGCTGAAAACCCCCCAGCTGAAATTAGCTGAAAGTAGCTGAAAAAAGTTTAAATTTGCACAAAGAAGCTGAAAGAAACTGAGCTGAGACAAAATGTGAAAGGAGCAGTAAAAGGTTGTAAACACCTAAAGTAGTATGTAAAATGAGCTCAATTCATTTTCTATGAGGGAAAAAATGGCAGAAAAGGCTAAATATTTCAAAAAGCTAAAGGTGTACCTATACCAAAAGTCATAGTAAATGGTAAATGGACTGTGTTTACCGTATATAGCGCCTTTCTATCTTATCCAGATACTCAAAGCGCTTTACACTACAATCTGTGCCTCATTTACCCATTCATACAGCACTCTACTAGATCTCTACAAAGCTAATTGAACAAATCATTCTAAAGAGACTAATCAGAGCTTTATCACATTCATACACCAATGGGACACACATCGGAGGTAATGAGCGGTTCAGTGTCTTGCCCAGGGACACTTCGGCATGTGACTGCTGGTGGATTCGAACCCTCAACTCTTGCATTGGAGGACGATTGCTCTAACCACTCAGACACAACTGCCCAGTACCTGAAGAAGCTGAACATTTTGATATATGATTATTTGAAATAACTTGAAAACTGCGAGATGAGATAGATTCCAAAAAATATATGAAATGGGGATAGTAACTATAAGAATTATTAACAGGATCACAATAGTGTGAATGTGCATTCACACAAATACAGAACTGCTTCCTTTATACATTTATTCAGAGCAGAAATGTGCACAGAAAAATAAAACACTGAGACAGGATCGTAAAGAGAAAAAAAAACATTGACAAAAAATATGCAAAGGTAAAATAATAGAGGGAAATTTACAGTACAAGTTCAATATTTATAATAATGCAATGACATTTTTAAGTAATTGTAAAATAAAATGGCAACATAAAATACTGAATATTAAAAAAGGCAAAAAATGTAAATATGAGTGGAACAGATGTTTGAAGGCACTTAGAAACGTCAACGTTGAGAGCTTCAGGTCTTTTTGCAAGATATTCCAGGAAACAGGAGTGGAGTAGGAGAAGGCCCTTTTGCCTAGTTCAGTCCGCACTGAGGGAACACTGCAGGTAATAATGTCCTGAGTGCGCACGCTGTAGCTGCACTCAGGCAGAGACATGTAGGAGGAGATGTGTGAAGGCAGCAGACCAAGAAGTGATTTAAAGATGAAAATGTACCAGTGAGAGAGTCTGCGTGAAGTTAATGATGACCAGTAATACAAGGTGCAATGCTTGGTATGTTAGTTACAACCAGTTACAGTATGAATCTTAATGCAACGTGATGGACAGCATCCAACATCTGCAGGGTGCTTGTAGGAGCGTTCATGTAAATAATGTCACCGTAATCAATGGAGGGAAGGAAAGTCACAGTTACAAGGTGTTTCCTAGCGTTCAGAGTTAGACAGGATCTATTTCTAACAAAGAAACCCAATTTAACTTTCAGTTTCTTTACCAAGTTTTTAACGTGGAGCTTAAAAGAGAGATGCGAATCGACCAAGATATCCAAATATTTATAGGAATCGACAAATTCAACAGGAACACCATTTGAAGATAAAATCGAGGGAAGGATTGCTGGGACCGACTTCCTGTTTGAAAACAACATCCCTTTGGTTTTGTCTGTTTAGTACAAGTTTTAGACGGAACAAATCTGACTGGATGATGTTGAAAGCAGATTGCAAAAGCTGGAAAACTTTAGCAACTCTTTTAGCTCGACAATAAACAACTATCATCAGCGTAGAAATGTAAGGATGCATCAAGTATGATCTGACCTATTTTAGTTACGTATGTAGATTGTGAAGAGGGTGGGTCCTAAGACTGAGCCTTGTGGTACACCATTGTTAACAGATAACTGGAAGAAGTACCATTATGTTGAACACATTGCCTCCAATTTGAGAGATCGTTAGTGAGCCAACCAATGGTATGATCTGAGAAACCAATTTCTGAGAGCTTATGACACAAGATGTTCTGATCCACAGTGTCAAAAGCTTTAGACAGGTCTAAGAAAAGTGCAGCACAATAATCCTTAGCATCCAGTGCTTCAACAACATCATTAAAAACCTTCAGCAAAGCTGAATACACTTCATTGAAAGTCCTTTTTCAAAGGAGGCATTCAGAGCATAAACTATGCAAATTTATCCAGAAACTTTTTTTTTAATTAAATTTATTCATTTTAAAATACAACACAATAATAAAAAAAAAAAACAATAATGCAAACTAAGTTTATATAATATATAAATAAAATGAAGGGTAGCAGAAGGAAGAAAAAAATCTTATTTTATCTGCCCTCTCTTACAATAATTCAAATCAAACAACAATCATCTGTAAGTACCTAAACAAACAAAAAAGAAAAAAAGAACAATTCACTATAATTTTTGAACTATAATGCAACATACATAACAGTATTTCATATATATTTTTGCAGAAGTCCATTTTTAATTTTTTTCTTAAAAGTAATCGTTGTTTTTGCATTTTTCACTTCAGTTTTCAAACCATTCCACAATCTAATTCCCTGGATTGAGGTTGACCGACCCTTCAAACTGGTTCTATATCTTGGTTTAACAAATATTTCCTTTCCCTTGAGATTATAACTTTGGATCAAAACATTGAAAATCTTGTTAAAAATAATAACGGATAGAAGTGGAATTGTATTTAATAAAACAATTATGCAAAATAAAGAGGTTGTTCACTAAAACTGTTGAGACCCTGAAAAAAATTTAAGCACATCATTATTGCTTCCTGTTTGCAGGCATGGCTGGCACCGTCTACTTCCTGGCAGACCTCATTGTGCCACTGAAGGCAAAGTTTCCAGCTTTTGAGGTGTAGAGTGTCCACAGGTAGTCCTCCACCCACCCACACTGCAAAAACTTAACAAGACAGCTCTCCGGTTCTGGATCAAAGCTCGTTCAGGACTTTGTCTTCAAACGCCATCAATGTTCATTCTTCCTGCTTTTTATCTCCAACACCTGTTTCCAAGAGAACTTCCAGTGTTGCTTCTTGTGCTTCGGGTTAATTTGCGGTCTGATAACTTACAATGTATTTTTTTTTTGTATATCTATGTCATAAACTGGCACAAACAATAAAACTAGAATTGGTTGCCTCATCTGAGGAATACACAGGTTTTAGTTTTTGCTCTGTCCTCATTCGTAAAGCTGCTTCAGTTGTTGTTTGTGCAGGAGCGAGAAAAAGCCACTAGAGGGCAGCAGAGTGCTCCGAAATGTTTTCAACACATCTTACACTTGCAGCTGTGCAAGTTTAGTTTTAAAGCAGCCACATGTATACACAATTGACTGAAAACCATTGAAACATTTGACTTAAAAAGTTTCTCCTCCATATAAGGCTCATAAAACACACCGAGATCCAAATGGCGACACTTTTGAACTCCCTCGTGCGGCATGTTCCTGAGGCCAGCTGGGACCTTGAGGAGCTAAAGAGGAGGAGGAGGAGGGTTACTGTACCAGAGACTGTAGAGAAACAGGAGTGTTGAATTTTTTTTCTCCACCCCCGCCTGGTACAGGAGAAATCGAACTCCCTCAGGCAGGAATGGAGGTAAAAATAGAGCTCATCTGTTCAGGGGAGTGGTCTCCCAAGACACGACTGTTGCTTGGGTGCATTCGCTCGTGGCAAAATGTCCTCTAATCTTCTAGCGTTGGACAGCAAAGCTTTCACAGCTGATGGCAAGTTGGACTTAATGCAGCTCAAACCCTCTGTCAGGGAATTCTCTAATAATTTGCATGATGTCACCACGTAAACAAGGGCTACGCTGCATTAATGTATGGTCATGGAAACATCTGAACATAGCAGAAATAAAGAAAATGTACAAGAATAGTTTGATGTTGAAATGTTTTCAGTTTGTAAAGACCCAAATTTAAAAATGGTACAAAAAGTAAAGATGTGTGTTTGGTTGATTTCTTTGTTGTACTCTTGGCAATAAATCTGGTACCTGATAATTCCACAAATGTAAGAAACATTCATAAAATGTGGGTTTTACCCATGAGAAAATTGCCAAATCTCTGCCATAACTGAACATCTCCAGCTATGGACTCTTGTTCTTAGCTTCGGGTACCCCATGTTCCTGGTTGTTAGCATGTGAGCATGGAGTGCTCACACAGTGAGCTCCAAACATGCCACATTTGAGTGATCTAGAAAGGGTTTCCTTCCATAGGACAACTTCAAGCTGTTTTTTCGCAAAACCAAGTTGCAGCGTATTTGAACCGATCCCCAGTATCCTCTCCCAATGGAAACGTTCCATAGAGCGTGGGATAACAAAGACCACCTGTGAAGTGAGCATCAGGGCTTAATTTGTGAATTGATAGATGCTGGAACGCAAATAGATGGTGGGACGGGGTCCTCCCAAGAAAATTTTTAATAAAGTAGATGCGTTTTGGTGTATTTTAATGGGTTGTTAAACATCCTATGTTTACCTATATTTGTAAACATTCCGCTTCTGTCAAGGATCCTCCCCCCACTCCACTTCCGAGCCCGACTCTGTCCCTGCTAATTGTTGTCCGACTCCACATGTGAAACTTCAGGCGCCTGCCTGCGACTGTGGACTCCTGCCTGCACACGACTGCCTGGTTATCTCGGCACTCCCCCACCACTCTTTTAGGGGCAGAGATTTTTTTTTAAGAGTAGACGAAATACTACTTGAAGGGGCTGCTTGTATGCTCGTAAGTGGCTGTTGTGTTTAAAATTAGTGTTTATTCAGTTTACATATCCAATATAAGTTTTATTCCTTCAAGGCAGTCATATTTGTTCATAACTTTATTATTAGTAAACCTGAGAGTTACTCGATCCAAGCCAACAGTTACCGGAACGCACCCTGTCAAAATAAGGGAGTTCCCGGATCCTGTTCTGGCAGGATCCAGCTCAAATTAAGCACTGGTGAGTATCCTTTGAGATGAGATTCTGCAACCAGTGGAAATCTCATATCTCCACAGTCTGGGACCAAACTCTACCTTCAAGATGACAACACTCACCCTCACAAACTGGTTCATCAGAGACTACCTTCGGAATTTGGGGTGATGGAACAACCTGCTTGCAGTCATGACCTCAACCCCGCTGAACACCTGTGGAATCACCTTGAATGACCAACACAATCACTATGACTTGTGTCAAATACTGATTGAGAATTGGATGCGATCCCACAGCAGAACGTGACTGTTCAGCCATTGTTGTGGCTGTGTATGGTTCTTCCGCATGCTGTTAAGGCCCCTGTTTTTGACATGAAAAAAATTGCCAACATGTTTCTTCAGACTTCGGAACATTTCGTCAGCATTTAGTAATGGGTAGAACTAAATATTCAAGGCAAATATTAACTTTTATGAGTCAGCACCCAGTGTTGGAACATTGTTTAATATTTAGTTTTTTTTTTTTTTTTTTAGATTTTATTGTGAGGTTTTTAAAACCAGTTTATTCATGTAGAATTAAAACAATCTGTAAATATGAGTGGTGCGTATTATTAATAAGAGATACAGTGATCTAAACAAAAATGAAGGCACAAGCGAGAGTTCGAGTTTTTATTTTATTATTTTTAGGCAAAATTTCATCAAAAATAAAAGATCCTGTAGTTGAAACCACTGCATTCACAATAAGAATTCATTAATCCAAGTTTAAACTTGGAAGAAAGTTCAAACTAAATCCTATATTGCTTTTCATGATGTCAAAATCTTATTGCCTACCAACTTAAAAGGCAAGCAATTGTCTGTTAGCAAAATATCTCATAAACCCCTTCATGGATTTGAATGAAACTTTCAGATAGTGATCAATGTATGTTCTTTTACAACTGATTAGTTTTTGGAGTCAATCTGATTCAAGATTGCCACAACGGCTCATTGACCTCAGCAAACACATAAACAGTTTAAACTCAGTTTTACAGAAATTGAGCTAAAATTTGTTGTGGTAGTTGCTGAGGATGATTTTGGGGAAGAAGAAAATGTTTTGTGTTTTGATTAAAAAGTATCACTTTTAAACATGTTATAATAAATTTGGCAAATGATATCTTTCTAAGACTTGAGTTTTTTGTCCTAATGATTATGTATTTTAAAACAATTTTAAAAAAGTAATAGTGATCATCAGACTTTTAAGAGGAAACAGATCGTTTAAGGGGAGAACAGCATTTTTTTAAGGTGGATTTAACAAAAATTGGAATAAAAAGTCCAAATCAAAGTGTAAATATTTGCATCAATTTCTGGCCAAGTTAAACAAGATCTTAATTTTAATAAGAAATCTTGTTTTATATATTTTTAAAATACTTTTTACAAAACAGATTTACTGGTTTATGGAGCTCACAAGACAAAATAACTAAAACAAGGTTTAATGTGTTTTAGTGGATTTGAAATGCTGCTGATACGATATACTGTGAATTCAGAAGCCTTCTTTGCATCATAACTCCATCAGTATAATGGAGTTCAGTTGAACAGCGGTAAATGTTTTTTCTTCATCCAACCTTTTTTTATATGGGTTAGTCTCACTGAGTCACGAGGACTCATTTTCAAGAGAGACCTGCTTTAGGCAGATAACATATAAATTACAGACAACAATAAAATGCAATGAAAATAAAATTAGTGTTATAAAACTAAAATCAAGGTGCCATATAAAAGAAGGTAAAATACTACAAACGAACATATTTGCTTTGATTTTTCTATTGACCTTATCAGTTGTTTAAAATCCCTTAAAGAAATCAAAGTGGACAGCTTCAGATCTTTTTGCAAGGCGTTACAGGAGCAGAGTAAGAAAAGGCCTTTTTGCTGAGTTTAGTCTGCACTGAGGGGACACTGCTTCAACTAAAATTTCCAAGTATTTGTAAGAATCCACAAACAATAGGAACACCATGTATGGATAAAATAAAAGGAAGGACTTCTGGTACCAACTTCCTGTTTGAAAACAACATCCCCTTGGTTTTATCAGCATTTAGCACCAGTTTGAGATGGAACAAGTCTTACTGGGTGATGTCAAATGCAGACTAGAAGTTGGAAAACCTTGGCAAACTGTGTTAGCTTGAGAACAAACGACTATATCGTTGGCATAGAGATGTAAGGAGGTGTCAGGAATGTTTTGACCTACATTATTTAAATAAATTGTAAAAAAAAAAAAAAAAGTGGGTCCCAAAAATGAGCCTTGTGGCACACCATTATTGACAGCTAGCAAGAAGTACCATTGTGCTGAACACATTGCCTTCGACCTGAGAGGTAATTAGAAAACCATCCGATAGTGTGATCTGAGAAACCAATATGCCATAAGATGTCATGATCTACAGTATCAAAAGCTTTGGACATGTCTAGATAAAGTGTGGCGCAGTAATCCTTGGAATTTACCAGTTTTATGCATGTACTGAATTAAAAAATAAAAATCCCTTGGTTTAGTTCCTGTCAGTACTCCAGGTAAGGTAAGGAGTCCAGGATTTATTTTCAGTAAAGTTGTTATGCTCCTTACAGAGGGACTGTGCCTTAAAAGGAAGGGGAAGTCATTGAAATACTTTACAACAAGCTTGCAGAGCTTAAGTTCTTCTCATTTTATTCCCTTTCAACAACTTTGTTTAAACAAACACACCAAAGGCAGGTTGGACTTCATCACTCCTAAAGGGTTGGGGTTTATTTTCAATACAATGAGGAGGTAAAAACCATCATATTGCCTGGTGGAGTCATGCAGCACCATTAAAAAAAAAAAAAACAATAAAAATGAATTGGACTTCAACAACAACAAAGGCCAAAATATAAAACACTTAACTGAAACTGCTGATGGAAGAAGACTTCAGTCAAGATGCAGTGGGTTCACTGTTGAAGATGAAGTGTTGTATAAGAGTTTTTAAACTCCTAATTTTACTTCCAGGAAGTCAGGCTTTCTTCTAACCTTTTAAAGTTGTCTTAATTTGGTTCTCTGGCTTCTTTATATCTTTCAAAGCTTTGATTTGGACCACTGCGGATTTTTGTCCCCCTTCGCCGAAATACCGTCCATCTGTGCACGTTGTGAGTGCAATAACGTAAAAAATAAGTGTCTTTCATTTGGGTGTGTAGCTACATCTAGGTGGAAGAAAGGTTCCTTTCAAAGACATTGCTACTTTAATATTAAAGATGGCCACGACGATAAATGCATAAGGCCGACCCCATTATTTGAGGAAACTGCTTTCTAGTTCAAATGTATGGGGTGATTGAAGATTAATCCATGGCTACCCCCTAGTTCCACTATTGTACCTTGTGGTAGATGAAATTTCTCTCTCCACTTGCCAGGATCTGTCACTGCGTGGCCTTGGACTAGGAAAAGAAATACTATCTTCTTGTACACAGTGTAACTCCAACCGACTTGAATATCTTGCACCAAAAACATTAAGGTTTTCTTCAATCCCTGTTAAGTTCCTTTCCTGAAAAAGACTCATCTCAAAAATGGCAAACATTCACTATTCAAACCCTTCAGCGGCGGGGGACATCGTACCGCTTGGTTCCTTAGTTTCAGTCCAGTTTTTGTATTTTATGACACGGAACAAGTGTCAAGACCTTAAGACTATCTACAGCCAAGAAACAGCATCTGAAGGTGGTGTCTTCAAGATACAACAGAATTAAAAATCCATTGAAGACCTGACGCGGGTCCATAGAGGTACGTACATCATCCTGCAACAGATCATCAGGTTTTCAATGGCTTTTTTTTTTATCATACGATGGGGATCTGTTGAGATATAAGATACATTTCTCGTACCGTTACGCAACCAATTGCCTCCAAGTTGAACGTCTCCATACCTGCCAGAGAGAGGTCAACGTTTCCAGCTCTTTTCGCCCTGCTGTCATTTAACCATAAGAGGAGGAGCGGCCTCGCGGTTTAAAAATACCACCTTGAAATTGAGCTCAAGGGTTTGGGAGCCCATCTGAAGGGAGCTGCTGACGGCTGCATTTCCCCTGCCCCCCTCCCCATAACTGTCTTTAAGAAAGTTTGCGTTAAATGACAAAAAAAAAAAAAAAATCAGTATTTTGTTCTTTACTGGAATATAAATCAAGCCTTGAGTCGGTCTTGACACACTTCTCAGCCGTCCAAAAATAGCCCCATCCCCTTCTAAAGGCCTTCTCCTGATGCTCTTCCACGGGAGCACGGCTCTTCTTTCCCTAAGAAAGTTAAAGATGTTCCAGTGTGTCATCTGATCCTTCACTATTAGCATACGTGACATCACATGCCATGGATAAATAAGGGGGCTCTGACCATGGCTCAGGACCACTCTGTCTTGGGACTTCAGCTTCTCATATCCTTTCTTTCCGCTCCTTCGGGCTCCAACTCTCCAAAATGGTGTGTACAGAATTCTAGTTTTGGACCTTATTTTGTTTGGGGGCAACGGAGTAATTTTCTTTTCTTTGCTTCTTTTTGAATTGGGACACTATCTCTTACCAAATTATCCCTAAAACTTGGACTTTGTGCTGGCTGTCTGGATTAAGAAACTTAGAAAATGGTTGGAAATTTTTGGGTCTGAGGACGACTGGCTTAATATTTCAACATGTACACCAGAGCATAAACAAAATCCAAAAAAAACCAAAAAAAAAACTGAGAACTTCTATAAATTCATCATCCATCACATTTTGTATTGTTTTGTTCCTCTACATTTCCACTTGTGTGTTCTCTGTTCTTACATGTACATTTCTGTGTTTTTACGTGACAGACGGAGTTCACACCGGACCAGATTGAGGGTAAGTGAAGATATTCTCAGGGACTACTTGATGGCATCTTATTTTTCCAGTGTTGCCACCAGAAAAAATATAAGCGCTCCATGTTGCTTTTCATGCCTTTGCGCACCATGTTTATTGAAAATGTCCTATTAGTACCCTAAAACTACTTCTTTAGTTCAAGTTAAGTGTTAAAATTAAGTAAAAGAAAGGATAAAGACCGCTGTAGGAGATGCCATTCAAACAACTCGCCCAGGTTTCTATTCTCAGATGACCAACCTTGTCTTGAAAGTCAGGGAGGGAATAACCTTTAAGATGTAGACATACCCGTACTGGTATCAAATTATACAAGGAATCCAAGGCGGTCTTGTCCTTCCAGCCCCGTTTAAGTGAAATGCAGAGTCCCTTTGCGATGAGGTGTTGATTACACCCCAGTCAGCGCTCTTATGGTTAACTCACTAAGGGGGACATGTCTCTATTTGGTTTGAATTTTCTCCGCCTGGGTGGATCAGCTTGTCCCCGAGGAGGGATTCGGGGTGGGGAGGGTACAGCTGTTGTTGCTGTTCAGGAGCTGTGCATTAATCTGTCAGAAAGGTCGCTCTTTAAGTTCCTGGAAGGATTTGTCGGAAAAGGAAAGCTTTGTTAGGGCTCCAGTTTTTCTAGTCTCTGCTAGATACAGCTGTTCAGCTGAATTAACGGTGAACAATGACGGAAGCACGGGGCTTTGGTCTTCAGTTCAGTGATCCCACACAGCTGTCACAGACAAAGAAAACCCAAATGGGATCGCTACTAATAGGCAAACAGATTTTTCATCTCACCTTGTGTCAGAGCCGTATAACTCAAAGATCCTTTTTTTTTGTCTCCTCGTCTGTCCAGACTTCAAGGAGGCTTTTGGTCTCTTTGACAGAATTGGTGACAGCCAGGTGGCCTACAACCAGGTGGCCGACATTATGCGCGCTCTGGGCCAGAACCCCACCAACAAGGATGTTCAGAAAATTCTGGGCAACCCAACCGCCGACGGTAATAGACCGCATCATTTGAACAAAATCAGAAGTGTCACTGTGGGTTTTTCCTCGCTCGTTAAAACGATTGCCTGTAAATGAACAGATATGGCCAACAAGAGGCTCAACTTCGACGCTTTCCTGCCCATGCTGAAGCAGGTCGATGCCATCCCCAAGGGAACCTACGACGACTACGTTGAGGGTCTGCGTATCTTCGACAAGGAGGGTAACGGCACAGTCATGGGCGCTGAGCTGCGCATCGTGCTGTCCACTTTGGGTGAGTACCCAAATATAGAAGCGTACAGATATAACTTGCTTAGCACACAGTCTTTGAAATTGAGATTGTGGCCTTGACATCAATCCTTGTGCACACACACCACAGGAGAGAAGATGAACGAGCAGGAAATTGAAGCCCTCATGGCCGGACAGGAGGACGAGAGCGGCAGTGTGCACTATGAGGGTACGCTTTTGTTATCTTTTAGGATTAAAAAAAAAATGTTTTATGAAATGAAGCTGATGGTCTGAACTTCTTTTTCAACAGCTTTCGTCAAGCACATCCTGTCTGTGTAAGAGGCCCGCAGCAAGAGTGCTGAGGAAACTGTAGCTCGCCTACAGACAGCCGAACAGTGTTCAGGACATCTACGCTGTTTCAAAGACCAACCAAGGAAAGACAAGGACTTTGTACAAGGGATGTTGAAGCAAACCCATCGTTCTGCTTGTTTTGTTTTCCGTTCCACTTCGCCTCAAACCCTCCTTCCTGAGGACATCGTCTCTCCGTTGTAGACCACCATCACCCGGCCTCTACTCCCCCCACCGGGGCGCGTCTCCACTCGCCACATGGGGTGAGGAACGGGGGAAAAGGGGTGACCGCTCATCAAGTGAGGGTAGATCCCTCCCTTCCCACCGCCACCTCATTCAGTCATGACACCTCTGAACCCAGCAATGCCAAAGGTGCTGGAGAACGGTCGTGGATAGACCGCCAGAAGTTTCCCCAATTCCCTGAAAAGTTGTATTTATTTTCACTCTGATCATTTCAGAATAAACTTTTCCAACGTACATCCCATCTTGGCTGATTCTTCCTCTTTTATTGCCCTCATGCCACGTATTAAAAACCTAACTTCCCATAAATCTCACCCCAACCTTGCTTTGCATAGCGATAGTTCACCTGTATAGATGTTCCACCACAAACTTCTCGCTCTGAAATATTTTGAAGTTTATGCTAATACAAATAAAACTTGCTGCATAAGAACGTGAAAGCAAATACATACACGAGGTAAAGAGGCACCTTCATACAAAAATCACTGTTTTTGGTAGCAGCAAATGTTTTTGCTCTAAATGTGACTATCATGGGTAAAAACTAAATGAATCCTTGTTGGAATGGCCTTTAAAGGTCTGATTCCATCTGGCCAGAGGAAATACTTTGTTTAGGTGGAGAGTTTTCTCCATATTTAGCTAACCAGGGGTCTACAACTTGAGGCTCTTTGGTCCGTCTGCAGCGGCTTTTTCAAGTTTTGATCAAAACTAACATAAAACTATTTTATAGGTTGTTATACCAAAAGCAAGAAAGGCTCGTTTTATCTGTTTTACTGTCATTTCTTTTGCAAATATATAAATTCTAGTATCAGTACAAGAAGTCAAACATGTTGACTACACCATGTTAGTAGTTTGTTAGACACTTCTTTAGGTCGACCAGTCTTACGATGTGATCTTTCTCTCAGATCCATCAGATTTGTTTGAATAGCTTTAAGGCAAGTTAGAAGAAATATGAGTCAATCTGATAACAACAAAATTAAAGAAAAAAGTAAATAAAAGTATTCACTTTAATTATAAAATTCAACCAACAAACAGGCCTATTTTTAAAAATTCACTTTAACTTTACGTTTTATTACTTCAACGTAAGATACTTCATTATTTTTTCCACAAAAAAAATAAATAAATAAAAAGAACATAGTTAAGTTTTAAACATTTTATAAAATTGGTAATTCTTTCCCTTCTTTTGTCTTAAAATGTACAAATATCAATAAATAACTAGAGAAACTGCATTCGCTGTGACAATGCAGTGTGAATGCTTATTGCTGAACAACTTGCTGAGAAAACAGCTGAAATTAGCTTAAAAAAATGTGCTAAAATGTAGCTGAAATGGAAGAACAAGCATAACAATAAGTTAGCAGAAGAAAGCACAAAGAACAAATATTTGCTGAATTTGGTTTAAATAAGCAGAAATTAGTACAAAAATTAGTAAATTAGCTAAAAACCAACAGTTTACAATGGACTGCTGAGCTGTAAGTATATTAACATGATTTGTTACAGTGAACACAACTAAACAATAAATAGGATCAAAGATTTGGAGTAGCGTGCGAGTAGTAGTGACACATTTGCAAGTCATAAAAGTGAAAATACATAGTTTATATTCAATCATCTATACAGGCCTGTCACAATAAATTTTGCTGGGTGATTAATTGTCTCAGAAATTATTGCGATATACAATTATATTGTTTGAAATTTGACAATAATTAGTAATTATTGTCAAATTTAAGAAGAAATGTTGGTTAATTTTTGTATGTAGTACCTTTTTTGACCACCGGATGGCAGTACAAGACTGTTTGAACCAAAGGATGGATAGTGAGGGAGTGAGCAGCACATCTCTTTAAGAAAAATGGGACAGAGGCCCCTTGACGTGACGTGGGCTGTCTCGCCTTCCTTTCGTTCCGGTTCTTTAAAAAGTGGATGCTCGGTGTGGTTTGAGCTCTTTAGCATAGCTAGCTATAGCATAGCATAGCAATGAGCATGCATCAGGATCTTTAGCATATCACTTTTTTTTTTTGGTAATCTTTGATTATGATGTCAAAAGTGCAACAGAGAACGTCAAATGACACCAATCAAACACTTGCTGAGGAACCTGCAACCAAGAAAAGATGTTGGGTATCTAACTTGAGTTGATGTAGATTCTGAAACTGGCCCTTAGTTTGAAAAAGGTTTTAATTTTGGCGCCGAGTTTGACACTCTTGTTTTAGATGAAGGCACGAGTTTCAACTGTGAATTTTGGAGCTTCGACAAGACGGAGGTTTTTTCCCCGAGGTTGGCCTGTTAGCTTAGCTTGTAGCTTAGCTTCTCAGCTTAGCTGCTTTTACCGATCCAAAAACGCGATTTTGGATCGTTAAAATGGATTTTAAAGAGAAAGGGAGGGGTCAGTGAAGAGCGCCGGAGTTGAGCCTTTTGTCATCCAGTGTCTTCAGTAGAAAGAGAGAGACACGAAAAAGCGATAAAGCCCATAAATGAAAATGAGGTCGATAATTTAAATTTATCATGCGATTGATTGATTTATTGTTTATTGCTATGGGCCTAATCATCTATCAATCAGCAATAGAGTTTTTCTCATCTTCTGCACTATTTCTTGAGATTATAGGTCGTTTGTAAGACGACTAGCAGCTAAATTTGTCAGGAAAATGAAGAGGTAAAAAAGGTGGGCGTGTTTTTCCTGAAATGTAATTAGATTTAGTGGAAATCAAGGGTCAATCAGTTAACTCGGAATTAATAATTATAATAATCATTATATAAGAATAATATTTAATAATAACTATGGTATGGATTATAAGAAAACATAAGAAGGAATATTATAGCGGCTTACTAAACAAAAGTAAGGGTGATATGAAAGCAACATGGCGCGTAATGAATAGTGTTTTGAAAAATCATAAAATATGATCAGGTATTTCAAGGTATTTTGTAAAAGATGACAAGAAAATCTACGATTAAAATGAAATAGTAAATGAATTCAATGAATATTATGTGAATGTTGGCCCAAGTCTTGCAGTTAAAATACCAAATGTAAATAATGATGTGTCATACAGTCATGGGTTGTGCCAACAGCATTTTTCTCAGTGACACTGATAAAGAAGAAATATTGAGTATTGTGAAAAATCTTGCAGATAAAAGATCAAAAGACTCGATGGATATGATGTTTGTAAAGGATATAATGAGTTATGTTATTGAACCATTTACATTTTTTATATGTAATTTATCATTTTAAACAGGAACATTTCCAGAAAATATGAAAATAGCAAAGATAGCTCCTCTTTATAAGAATGGTGAGAAATGTGTATTCACTAATTACAGACCAATATCCTTGTTGCCACAATTTTCAAAAAATATTAGGGAAATTATTTTAACCAGATTAGATCGATTTAAATAATAGACAATATGGGTTTAGAGCAAATAATTCAAAATCAATGGCTCTCATGGAATTAACAGAAGAGATAACAACTTCTGTTGATCAAAAACAGTATTGTGTTAGTGTTTTTGTTGATTTAAAAAAAGGCCTTTGATTCTATTGACCACACCCTTCTCCTTGAAAAACTGAATAAATATGGCATTAGAGGATTAGCACTACAGTGGGTGTCCAGTTATTTGAATAATAGGAGACAGTTTGTACAGGTAAACAATCTGAATTTTCTGTGAATGGATGTGGAGTTCCTCAGGGCTCGGTGTTGGGACAAAAGTTGTTTATTTTGTATGTGAATGATCTGGTTGATGTGTCAGGGCTTTTGAAGTGTTTTATTTGCAGATGATACCACATTTTTTTGTTCAGGTGAAGATATTGAAGGTATACGGATGTTAGAAATGATACAGGCAGAATTTGTAAAAATACAAATTTGGTTCCAACTTAATAAGTTATCGTTAAATTTGGAGAGAAAAAAAACTACATGATATTTAGCAACAGAAAGAAAATGATCGAAGTCCCATTTAAAATTGACAGTGTTGAAATTCATAGAGTTAATTAAATAAAATGTTTGGGTGTCGTTAATGATGAGAAGCTGACATGGAAATCTCATGTAAAATAAAAATAGCAAAATCAATTGCATTGCTGTATAAAGTAAAATGGTTTTTGAATGACAAAGCTTTGTATATATTGTATAATTTTGTTTGTTTAGTTTGTTTTGGCTCCTTGGACTGATGAAGTCTTTTGGATGAAAAGTGAAACATTTCAACAAAAAGAAACTGTCCAGAGGACCTGACTTAACTTTGTTGGATTTTTCACCTGGATTATTGAGCATGAACTCAGAACTCTTGTTCAGTCTTTTTCTGTACATCTTATTGTGAACTTTAATCTTTGTTTAATTTGTTAGATTGTTTTACTGTACTGTAGTATTTTGTTTGTGCTGTAGTTACCAAAAGTTACCAGCAGGTGGCAGCATCAAGTAGAAAGGGTTTCTGGTTTAGGCAAAGACGTCTTACTCTGATAAATATTTTGTTTAATAGAAATAATCAAAAGCATAAAAACGTTTAGATTGTTTACGAGTAGAGTGAGAAAACCAGCAAACATATACAACTGACACTAATTTAGTTTGAAATATAACGTGGTAAGAAAAATAAGGTTTAAAAAAAAAAAGTCGAAACAAATTGTTCTCGTTGCGTTGCCACACTGTTATGATTACAAAAAGCTAACAAGTGATACATCTTAACACGCGCATAGGATCTTTGCTCGTATCCAGATCTCAAGAAGCTGCTTTCGCTCAGAGATGTTTTGTAAGAATATTGTCAAACCGAGTGTTTGCAGGTTGAAAAATGCCTTTGGACGACGAGTGGTGCTCTCTGCGGCTTCTGCCAGGTTAAAAATTTTCTTTATAAAATAAATGGTTATGATCTAGAAATACCGTACGTCTTGAGTATAGCAAGTTACGTTTAATCCGTAAGACCTTTACAAAAGTTTGTGATTGTTTTCTTTGAGTGACATCAGCGTTTTTTCTATTTTACTTAAAAAGTTGTGTTAAATGTTAAAGTTTAACACTGTGTAGTTCACGGCAACCTTTGGCTTACTACTTGTTAGTTATGAATAATAATGGAATGTATTAATTAACTAAGCAAAAAGACTTACGTAACTTACAAGTGTTACATTTAATGGTTCGATGTTGCACTAAAGGATGTCGTTATTAAAAAATAAACTTATTTTTGGAGTTATTGAAAAATGTATAACTGTTTCATTCAGCTGCTTAATGCAGTTGGAAGCTCCTCCCCCTCCTCAGGCTCCGCCTTAGAGCCATCGGAGCGTGACGTTCGTGAACGATCCGGATCTTTTGAACGACTCTTTACAACGAACAACAAGAAACGAGTCGCAGACAGTAAAGAGCCGTTCCTACTTTTATTGTATTTTTTCTTCTTCTTTCAGCTGCTCCCTTCTTCAGGGTTCGCCACAGCGAACTAACTCGCAAGAAGACTTGGCAATTATTCTTACGCCCTTCCTGACGCAACTACAGATCAAAGTTCTTTTTTTGCCATTTGTTCGCAGACCAACAATCCAGGCACATTGGCATTCTTATGCAGAGCTCTCACAATCAATTCAATTCAATTTATTTATATAGCTCCAAGTCACAACAGAAGTCGTCTCAGGGCACTCTGAACAGAAACATTCATCCATCCATCCATCCATTATCTTTACCCGTTTATTCCATTTTGGGTCACGGGGGTCGCTGGTGCCCATGTCCAGCAATCACTGTGCAAGGGGCGGGGTACACCCTGGACAGGTCGCAAGTCCATCACAGGGACACAGAGACAAACGAGACGAACAACCATTCACTCTCTCACTCACACCTAGGGACAATTTAGAGTTACCAATCAGCCTAACATGCATGTTTTTGGTCTGTGGGAGGAAACCGGAGTACCCGGAGAAAACCCACGCATGCACGGAGAGAACATGCAAACTCCACCCAGAAGGCACCTGGACCGGGGTTTGAACCAGGGACCTGTTCGCTGAGAGGCAGCAGCTCTACCAGTTGCGCCACCGTGCTGCCCCTGAACAGAAACATTCATACAAAATAACACTATTTATCTGACATAGTCAAAAACACTGAAACAACAGTAAAAACCGTGTCACATGACCAGTGAAGTTGGGTAGTGTGGGGTTATGATTGCACCTGATCAGTAGTTTTGTTTTGCCATCAGTCTTGACTGTGGCAGGGAAAACCTATTAAAAACACCTTGTACTGCAGGTTATGACGCTATCCGCTCTACTGTGTCTCAGGTTATATGAACATTTTTTTGTGTCTGATAAGAGAGCGAGCTGGATGGAGTGAGTCCTTTCTGATTCCTGCTGCTGTTTTTCGGCAGTGCTGTACATACATTGAGTCTACGGAAGAAAGTTTTGTCCCTGTGATCCACTCCACAGTCTTATGACTCTTTGCAGTGCTTTCCTTTCTGCTTGGTGGCGTTCCCATACCAGACGGGATCCTGTGGTTAGTATAGTCTATCAGTCCTCTATAGGCCTAGGTGAGAGACCACTGAGCTACCCTCTGTGTGGTGCAGAGAGCTTCCACAGCCGGGGGAGCAGATGGTGGGGGTTAAGGGCCTTGCTCAAGGGCCCAGGTTGGGGCAAATGGGGGTGGAGGCAGGTGTGGGTGTTTCACCTTTCTCACCCACATTTTGATGTTCTTGGTCCAGGGTGTTGAACCCGCGACCTTCCGATCACATTTCCACCTTCTCTAACCTCTGTGCCACCCCATAGTGTTTCATCTCAGTTTTATTATAATCATCCTCATAATTTCATCCTGTTTCCCTCCTCAAGCACAAAGACAAACAATCTTTCTTTGTTTTTTTTTTCCCACTGAGACAAAGGAGAACTGGATAAAGGGAGGGGTGCAGCAACTCCGGGGAAGGGGGGGGGGGGGGGGGTGTCCTCTTTTTAATTAATTTCCAGTACTTTTTGCCACAGTTGTACAAGATTACTTTGTCTGCATACATTTGACACTGGACATCCTCTCATCTTTCAGGTCCTAACATATAACCCTGTGGAACACCCAAATAATAAAAAAAGATGGAAATAACAGCAAAAGGCTTTACAAGTGACACTAAATTATTATTTTGTGCCGCAGAAATAAATCCACAGGTGTCAAATCTGAAAATACCGTGTATATTATGAAACTACTTTGTTTTAAAATTAAAACTAATTTCAGTTAGTCTCAAAATACCCACTCTTTTGCTGGGTCACTGTTTTCTCCCTAAGCAAGGCAGTTGATTAATGTGTCATGGGCTTTCAAATAAGTTGGTTGTCTTTAAAGCAGGGAGTGACTGATCCTGTTTTTCCACTCAGAAAACAGCATAGTCAGCCGTCCACTCCTACACGACTGGAGACCTCCGCTGCCAGAAACATGATGGACATTGGAACCCGCCGCATCTTCAACGAGGACCACGATATCTTCAGACAAAGTGTTCGGAGATTCTTTCAAGAGGAAGTGATTCCACACCACAACGAGTAGGTAGTCGAAGCACGGCCTCTTGTTTGACGAGGTTGTTACGAAGACGTGAAATTAATTCAAGCCCGCTTATAACTATTTTGCCTCAGGTGGGAGAAGGCAGGTCAAGTGAGCAGGGAGGTGTGGGAGAAGGCTGGTGAGCAAGGACTGCTGGGTATAACGATACCAGAAGAGCACGGCGGCATTGGAGCAGACGTGTTTTCTGCAGCTATCGCATGGGAAGAGCGGTGAGTTATCATTCAAAGACTACTTTTGAGATATAACACCAGACTAGTTTTGCTCATAAGATCAAAATGACTTTCTTTTCAGAATGTATTCCAACTGTACAGGCCCAGGTTTTGGTTTGCACTCTGAAATCATCATGCCTTATATTGTCAAATATGGCAACAAGGAACAGATTGAGCGCTTTATTCCTTCCATGACTGCTGGGAAATGCATTGGTGCAATTGCAATGACAGAGCCAGGAGCTGGCAGGTCCGACTTCACTCTTACAGTATACCAGACATCAAAGATTTAGGCCTGCATGACAACAGTGTGTTGTGACTTTAATAACTAATAACTATTCCACCTTTCTAATTTTTTAGCGATCTTCAGAGTGTGAAGACATATGCCTATAAGGATGGCAGTGACTGGATTCTTAATGGCAACAAGGTACAGCGTCAAAAAGCTAAAATACTTAGTTGGTTCTTAAGATCAGCTGAAGTTTATTGTCGTTTCCTATTACCAGGTTTTTATCTCAAACGGTTGGATGGCTGACCTGGTGGTGGTCGTAGCCGTGACCAACCGTGAGGCGAAGTCTGCGGCACATGGGATCAGTCTGTTTCTGGTGGAGGAGGGCATGAAGGGCTTTCAGAAAGGACGCAAGTTGGATAAGATTGGTCTGAAGGCACAGGTACTGGAGTTCAGGGCCATTCCAGTGAATTGATTGTAACTTCTTCCTCTTATGTCTGTCCACCCTTCTTTCAAAGGACACAGCTGAACTATTTTTTGAGGATGTGCGACTTCCTGCCAGTGCCGTCTTGGGTGAACTCAACAAAGGTTTCTACTACCTGATGAATGAACTGCCACAGGTAATAGACATCTCCATGCAAGCCGTCTATCCGAAATATCGATTTGGCTAATCCTTTTTTTGTCATTAGGAACGTTTGTCGGTTGCCGACATGGCCATAGCAAGCTGTGAGTTCATGTTTGAAGAAACCAGGAACTATGTTATGCAGCGAAAGGCTTTTGGCAAGACCCTTGCTCACCTACAGGTCTGTATGTTCAAGTACCTAAAAAAATGTATAAGTCTGTTTCAAAAAGCTAAGAAAGGTTTCTGTTCTGCAGAAAGGAAGTTAAATAATTGGGGGCTCATCCGGGATCCTCAAATTCGATTTTGTTTAGTGTATTTTGATATGCTGGATGCTTTTTATTGTTAATTTTGTTATATCCTCCTGGTTGTAGTTTTTTTTTTATTTTTGAATTACAAACTTTTGATGCTTTTTTGGAAGAATTACATATTTACTTTGTAAGGAACTTTTGGAATTTGCGTCACCTGATCTTTTCCAGCTAAGAAAACACAAATAACCCTAACAACACCTGATATTTTGCTTCAATTTAAAAAAAAAATATATTTTTTCATCATAGAACTGAATTCACTAAATATAGTAACGTTTATCCCCGTTTTTTTCTACATAGAATTAAGAGTATGGTTTGTATTATAGACCGTGCAGCACAAGCTGGCAGAGCTGAAGACTGAGATCTGTGTGGGCCGAACTTTCGTTGATAACTGCATTCAGCTCTTCGCTGAGAATCGACTGGATTCCTCGACTGCCTCTATGGCCAAGTATTGGTAAGAATACATTTGGGTGGGGATGTGTGAAAACTCGTCATCTAAGCCAGTCATATTCTGAGCTCCTTTATCTTATCTCAAGGACGTCGGACCTCCAGAACAAGGTGGCCACTCAGTGCCTGCAGCTCCACGGAGGCTGGGGTTACATGTGGGAATACCCAATCGCCAAGTAAGTGGCGGTCCACGTAAAACAAAGAGTTTTGTATTTGCCAGCCTGATAACAAACGGACTTCTGTTTGCTTTCAGGGCGTTTGTGGACTCGCGTGTTCAGTCCATCTATGGAGGTGCCAACGAAATCATGAAGGAGCTCATCGCTCGTGGCATCGTCGGCCAAAAGTGAGACTTTTGGCTGTGTTTTGTGTAGAAGGAGCTGTTTAAAAGTGGTCTGGAAATGTTTCGGAATGTGCAAACATAATCAAGAAGTGGTAGTGAAAAATCCGAACGCTGCTTGAAGTTTCAAATCGTGGACGACAACAAATTGAGGCCGCACTTCAGTACAAGAAAAGGAGATGACGTCAGCTATTTTTACAAGTGGAAAGTGATTTTTCTAAACTTGTGCCTTATCTGGTTGGGCTTATTGCAGCAGTCAAACTGCTTTTGATCACATCACACAGCTGTTGTAAACAAATCAAAACAAAAGTAATTAATAGTCCAATTCAAACAATACAGTAGTCCCTTTATTGCGAGCATTACGTTTCAGATGCCCCCCCCCACACACACACACACACACATACACACACACAATAAATGAAAATCCACGAAGTAGGAATGTTATATTTATTTAAAAAATATTTTATTTAACACTTGTCATATATGGCAACAAGGAACAGATTGAGCGCTTTATTCCTTCCATGACTGCTGGGAAATTGACATAGATTTCTGAGTTGAAACAACAAACCAAAACAGTTCAGTCAACGAATGAATCTAAATCAACTAAACTAAAGCAAGAGTTTATTAATCAAGACAACTTAATAATACCAAAGTTCATGCTCAATGATCCAGGTATAAAATCCAACAATGTTCAGTCAGGTCATCTGGACAGTTTTTTTTAAACTGAGACGTTTCGTCCTTCATCCAAAGAACTTCTTCAATCTGAGGAGCCACCAAACACAACTGATTCCCACCAACAGCATACTCCTAGACTATACTAGAGTATCTCTACTACTACTACTAGACTACTCTACTATCCATAAACTATACTAGACTATCTCTACTACTACTACTAGACTACTATCCATAGACTATACTAGACTATCTCTACTACTACTACTAGACTACTCTACTATCCATAGACTATACTAGACTATCTCTACTACTACTACTACTAGACTACTATCCATAGACTATACTACTATTACTACTAGACTACTCTACTAGACTATCTCTACTACTACTACTACTATTACTACTACTACTTCTCTACTATCCATCCATCTATTTTCTTCCGCTTATCCGGGGTCGGGTCGCGGGGGTAGCAGCCTAAGTAGGGAGGCCCAGACTTCCCTCTCCCCAGCCACTTAGGCCAGCTCCTCTGGGGGAATCCCAAGGCGTTCCCAGGCCAGCCGAGAAACGTAGTCCCTCCAGCGTGTCCTGGGTCTTCCTCTGGGTCTCCTCCTGGTGGGATGTGCCCGGAACACTTCGCCAGGGAGGCGTCCAGGAGGCATCCTAACCAGATGCCCGAGCCACCTCAACTGGCTCCTCTCGATGTGGAGAAGCAGCAGCTCTACTCTGAGTCCCTCCCGGATGACCGAGCTTCTCACCCTATCTCTAAGGGAGAGCCCAGACACCCCGCGGAGAAAACTCATTTCAGCCGCTTGTATCCGAGATCTTGTTCTTTCAGTCACAATCCAAAGCTCATGACCATAGATGAGGGTAGGAATGTAGATGGACCAGTAAATTGGGGGAGTGGTGGTGCAGAGTTTAGAAGATGGGCCTGTGATCGCAAAGTTGCAGGTTCAACTCCCGGTACCATCAACATCAAAATGTGGGTGGAAAAGGTGGAACACCCACACCTGCCTCCACCCTCATTCGCCCCACTCTGGGACCCTGAGCAAGGCCCTTAACCCCCACCATCTGCTACCTAAACAGGTTTCTCTTGAAAATGAGTTCTTGTGGCTCAGTGAGACTACCTGTATAAATAAAGGGTAAATGAAAAAAAAGAGAAAAAAAATTGAGAGCGTCGCCTTTTGACTCAGCTCTCTCTTCACCACGACAGACCGGTACAGTGCCCGCTTCACTGCCGACGCTGCACCTATCCGCCTATTGCACTCACGCTCCATTTTTCCCTCATTTGTGAACAAGATCCTAAGATACTTAAACTCCTCTACTTGGGGCAGGACCTCCTCCCCGACCAGGAGAGGGCACTCTACCCCTTTCCGTCTCAAGACCATGGCCTCGGAGCCACCATAGACTATACTAGACTATCTCTACTACGACTACTACTACTAGACTGACTACTATCCATAGACTATACTAGACTACTCTACCATCCATAGACTTTACAGCCTACTCCATAATCTATGGAGTATGCTGTTGTTGTGGGAATCAGTTTTGTTTGGTGGCTCCTCAGGTTGAAGAAGTCCTTTGGATGAAGGACGAAACGTCTAAGCTTAAAAAAAGATACTGTCCAGATGATCTGACTGAACATTGTTGGATAACTTTTATAATGTTTATTCACTCAACTTGAAATTTTAAGTTGAGTACGTAGCGTACACCTGCTCAGTTCTGGTTCGGCAGACCTACCCTGCAGCGAAGAAGCTCACAATGTTCTAAACTCTTAAACCTATGTAATTTTAACAACATCTACGTATATGTACTGTATAGTACTGCAACATTTTACTCACCAGCTCTGCAGAACACAACGGCTCGGTTCTGGTCTGGTTTTGATCAGCTCTGTGCAGCCCTTCAGCACCAAAACGCTTTTGGAGAAAGGCAGACACAAGACTGCACAATGGTCCCGATCGAGTCCAAATCCGGATGAAAAAAGTCCCGGTGAGCTCCGGAAAAAACACTGGACCTACAAGCAATGCCTCCCTGTTCGAGAGGCCTCATGGGCCAGCAAGCAGCACTCAGACTGAGCAATGAGTCTGGACGTTCGGATTTGGTCCAATTCCCCGTCAGTTTCATACAACTCTGCATCCACTGAGCGCCAAAATCATTGAATAAGGACCAAACTTT